TCAAATGAACAATAAATAAGGTATCATCTGAAACACGGAACACGCACAACGACAGTGTAACTGCTTCCGTATGCAGCAGAGTCTTTGAAATGCACGTAGAAATATTGATAAAAACTCCACGAACACCAGTGTAACCATTGAAGGACATCAACAAATACAGTGTGTCTGAGGTATGACCTGTCCCAGCACACTGCGTTCATTTGACCCTGCGCCAGCTCACCTGATATTACCAGTGTACATGAGGACATCAACAAATACAGTGTGTCTGAGGTATGACCTGTCCCAGCACACTGCGTTCATTTGACCCTGTGCCAGCTCACCTGATATTACCAGTGTACATGAGGACATCAACAAATACAGTGTGTCTGAGGTATGACCTGTCCCAGCACACTGCGTTCATTTGACCCTGCGCCAGCTCACCTGATATTACCAGTGTACATGAGGACATCAACAAATACAGTGTGTCTGAGGTATGACCTGTCCCAGCACACTGCGTTCATTTGACCTTGCGCTAGCTCAGTAATAAATACAGATTAGCTGGTTTTATAATTTGACTGGTCGATCCCTGAACGCTGATTGGCTAAATGCCCAGGTATGGTGTAAGGTGTGATACTTTTTACTGTGCAAATGACATGGTAGGTTTCCGGTCTATAACAGCAGTAGGACACTCTGGATTTTGCTGTATAAGGCCAATATACAACGGCAAAAGCTATTTTCAGGCACTGTGTGTCAAGGCAAATAACAAACACATGGGTTGTATAGCTTTATATAACTCCAACCATCAAAGGTTGAAGACAATTTGCATATGTGTGTCAGGTTTTTTACGCAAACATAGACAGTGCTGAACTAGCATGTTGGTGTAGAACGGTTTTGACAAAACACGTGCGTATCCCAGCTCCCCCTGGGGCACTATTCCGTGAGTGGAGTCACAACAAAGGGCTCTGTAAGGCAAAGCACACACCTGAGAAAAGTTTATATAAACAGATAAAAAAAGGCTAAAGCATCAATAGAATAAGTAAGAGTAACATTAGAAACAATACCAGTCCCTTAACTCCAAGAGGCAGACACAATACCAGTTCCTTAACTTAACTCAGAGAGGCAGACACAATACCAGTTCCTTAACTTAACTCAGAGAGGCAGACACAATACCAGTTCCTTAACTTAACTCAGAGAGGCAGACCCAATACCAGTTCCTTAACTTAACTCAGAGAGGCAGACACAATACCAGTTCCTTAACTTAAGAGGCAGACACAATACCAGTTCCTTAACTTAACTCAGAGGCAGATACAATACCAGTCACTTAACGTAGAGGCAGACACAATACCAGTTCCTTAACTTAACTCAGAGAGGCAGACACAATACCAGTTCCTTAACCTAACTCAGAGGCAGACACAATACCAGTTCCTTAACTTAACTCAGAGGCAGATACAATACCAGTCACTTAACGTAGAGGCAGACACAATACCAGTTCCTTAACTTAACTCAGAGAGGCAGATACAATACCAGTCACTTAACGTAGAGGCAGACACAATACCAGTTCCTTTACTCAGAGAGGCAGAAACTTCACTTTGCAAACTTGGTCCACACCTGCAATCCACCTCAACTATCATCCCAGAATAAACATTAGGCTCTACCTTTATTATCGAACAACAGAATAGGATGCAGAAAGTCATTTTACAATTTTATAATTTCAAGTGTTTGACAATAAGATAATCTATAACATACCTACAGTAGTTTGATAATAGTGGTGTGACTTATGCAAATACATGCAGTTTAATGGACCAGAAAGTATCCAAGCTCAATTCTGAATGTCATAACAAGGAGTCTGAATACTGGGGATATTTTTCTTTTTATTTCCTTTCTAAATTTGCAGGGAAATTACAAAGAAAACATTAGTTTCCTTGGTCATTACGGGGAATTGTTTTAAGATTGGTGAGTATTATTTGTTAATTGAAACAGGCCTTGACACATCATCCACTTGTCTTTGAAAAGACAGCAAAAAATGCAGATTAAGCAATTTGTTAATTTATTTATAATGGCACAACATAACGGCGAGAAGGAAAACAGGTTTCTTTCATCAATATACTCAAATTATATTTTACTGACTGTACCTCAAAATGGAGGCAATTTTCAAGGAAAAAAGGACAATATCATAATTTCTGGCCTGATTTAAAATTCTCCTTTGGTTCGACCATTATACATGTTCTCCGGAAGCATCTGAGCCAGTACACAACATGGGTCATGCTACAATGTGTATTCTTTACCTGTTCCTGGCTGGTAAAACACGTTGTATTGGTTGTACACAGATCTACACAGTCACTCCACTTGTAATTGGTCAGGGCCTGAAAGCTGAGTACTCCATGTCTTGGGCAGATGCATGCTGTGTTAGCTTGTGCAAACATAAAAGGCAAAGACAATGGGATATTGTTATGAATTATTTAGATTAGTCTCTCTGTTGTGGATCTGGCAGTGTTTGACACAATCGGTGCATGGGCTATACTCTAAAACCCATGTGGGGGAGATTTGTCTCTATTTTTGGCGATATAAATTAAAGACTCATATGTTATAATGGCACAGTGGTAATGGCAGTGGACAGTGCTAAAGCATAAATTCAGAAATCTGGTCACCTTAATCCTAGGTGTTACTGCCGTCTGTAAGCTAGCACTCTCTTCTCTGTTTCTCGCCCTCCTAGATCTGTTCTGTTCATCCTAGATCAACTCTATGTTCTGATCATCCTGGACCAACTCTATGTTCTGATCATCCTAGATCAACTCTATGTTCTGATCATCCTAGATCAACTCTATGTTCTGATCATCCTGGACCAACTCTATGTTCTGATCATCCTAGATCAACTCTATGTTCTGATCATCCTGGACCAACTCTATGTTCTGATCATCCTAGATCAACTCTATGTTCTGATCATCCTAGATCAACTCTATGTTCTGATCATCCTGGACCAACTCTATGTTCTGATCATTCTAGATCAACTCTATGTTCTGATCATCCTGGACCAACTCTATGTTCTGATCATCCTAGATCAACTCTATGTTCTGATCATCCTGGACCAACTCTATGTTCTGATCATCCTAGATCAACTCTATGTTCTGATCATCCTGGACCAACTCTATGTTCTGATCATCCTAGATCAACTCTATGTTCTGATCATCCTGGACCAACTCTATGTTCTGATCATCCTAGATCAACTCTATGTTCTGATCATCCTGGACCAACTCTATGTTCTGATCATCCTAGATCAACTCTATGTTCTGATCATCCTGGACCAACTCTATGTTCTGATCATCCTAGATCAACTCTATGTTCTGATCATCCTGGACCAACTCTATGTTCTGATCATCCTAGATCAACTCTATGTTCTGATCATCCTGGACCAACTCTATGTTCTGATCATCCTGGACCAACTCTATGTTCTGATCATCCTGGATCAACTCTATGTTCTGATCATCCTAGATCAACTCTATGTTCTGATCATCCTGGACCAACTCTATGTTCTGATCATCCTAGATCAACTCTATGTTCTGATCATCCTAGATCAACTCTATGTTCTGATCATCCTGGACCAACTCTATGTTCTGATCATCCTAGATCAACTCTATGTTCTGATCATCCTGGACCAACTCTATGTTCTGATCATCCTAGATCAACTCTATGTTCTGATCATCCTGGACCAACTCTATGTTCTGATCATCCTGGACCAACTCTATGTTCTGATCATCCTAGACCAACTCTATGTTCTGATCATCCTGGATCAACTCTATGTTCTGATCATTCTAGATCCTTTTTGTCCAACCATCCCAGGTCCAATCTGGCCACAATAACTAACTGGTCACCTAATCAACAACTTCCCCTTGGTTGCGTCATCCCATCCTTTATCCTCTAGAACCATTCCCCAGGTCATTGCTGAAAAAACAACGTTTCTCATCCAATTTGTTAAAACCAGGGTAAAAAAAATGAAATGAAAAAGTCAAACAGTTGTAAGAACCTTCTTCACTAGGCGGCTCCCAAATGCCCAGCGGACGGCCAACCATGAACCAATATACATTGATCGGTCTGTCTTTGAAACAGGAAAATCATTCACCCATTTGTCATCCTCCTATCCAGGCTGAAATTAAATTCCCCGCCATTGTCATTCCAGACATTAGCTTTTTAAGGCCCCTGAGATGGGGGAGTGAAATGGGTTGGTCCAATACGTTTGGGGCTGGCGCTTTTTCAACGAAATATTGGTAAAAACATCAAAATAAGAACCATTATAACCTGAACAATGATCCAACTCTCGTATCGATTTTTGTAGGAAAGGGGTCGGGTGTCTCGAGGCCAGAACGTGTCAGCCAATCAGGATAGAAATGCAGTGTCAAGCCCAACCCTCATTTCATTTGAACTAGCTTATATAAAAGTTAGCATGAAAACAAAACTGCATCTTAACATGACCTGCAGAACAATTACCTGCAAGTTTTTCCAAAAAAATTGCAACAACATCAAATTTAAATGGTATGATCAAATGGTAAAGAAGAACCGTTTCTCTTCATTCTTATCCACTTTTTGTCTGTCCCATTTTCACCTGCTAACTCATTTGTCTCTGAGAATTTCAACAGTCCTTGTCATTGAAATTACCTAATTATGATCTGATCTGCTTCCTCTACACCAGGCCTGGCCAACCCGCGGCTCCCGAGCCGCATGCGGCTCTTTGTGAGGTTTCATGCGGCTCTTACGTTCATATAGAAGTTTGTGTTTTTTTTAATGTCCGGGATAGCTTCGCTTGAATTCAATAAAGACATTTTTGTCAAACACGCATGTGTCACAAACTAGGGGTGTAGTGCAGTCAAAAGCCATTTGCAGAGCCAGTCTATACGTTTGTGGTGTTTATTTTAAGTACCATTTAAACCCAACACGTAACAACGAACGGAAATAAAAAGATGGCACTGTACTTAACTCAAATCGCGCAGTCGCGACTTATATGCTACACGCCACTCTAATTGGGATTTTTCTGTTTGGAGCAGTGGTTAGCGTGCTCGGCTGCCTAGCCAGAGGTTGCTGGTTCGATTCCCCCCACCAGATACCACAATATGTCATTTGAAATAGTTTTTAAGCTTTTATTTTCTGAATTTCATTTTGCCTCCTGTGTATGTGGCTCTTTGCGGTAACACAGTAAACAATGTGACTCATAGTCTCTGACTGGTTGGCCACCCAATGCTCTACACTATACAGCATCTGTAACTGTGTCCCAAATTGTCTCAAATTAAGCCATGACTTAGCCAAGACAAAATCTGTCTCATGCAAAATGTCCGCTAGTGTGCCAATGATAGACACGATCAGAATAACTTATTCAAAATATTGTTTTACAAAGTGCAAGCCGGCGCTGGTGTCTTTGTTGTGTTGTGTTTTTCTATCGTTTTCATCCACCCATTCCCTGCTTTCCTTTGAAACACTGTCACCCGTGAGTTCCGCATCCCAGTAAGCGGTTCGGCAACAAAACCCCTCAATTCCCCTCCGAAAAACAGCATGGGGGAGCGGGATACGAAGCGCTAATATGCCACGACAACAACCATTAGCCGCTTTTCCGGGATGCGCCGGCACAGGTCAACAATTAAAAGGGAGTGACTGACAGATGCTAGTGGCTGAATGCGCTACCGAAAACACAAAAGCACACCTGAAGGACAGAGCACGACCACCTTAATGCGACTACACTGTGTTAGATCGGGAGATATAGATCTGAGGATATGGCACGGCATCGTTTAATGGCCTCACTACAGGCGCGTTAAGGAAAACAGCCAGCCGACCGCGGCGACGGCGCTTATAGATAGGAGCCTCCCTCCATTTGCATTTCAATCTCCCTCTCTGAGCCTCTCTGTACTATCCATCTCCGAAGCCCTCGTCTCATTGTTTCGTGAGAGAGCGTGTCAGCATCCTCTTATTTCTGCATGGGCTATCGCGTGAGGCAACTCCTCCAAGGCCGGTCCAGAACCTCAGGGGGATGGAAGGACAGAAAGAAATGGCGGGATGGATGGAAGACATGAAGGGATGGATGGAGGGCACTGGTATATAAGTAAATTATGAGAGTGAAGAGTTTCTCATTACGGCCGTGTTCCCATTCTGCTTCTGACAGCTTTCTCTGTTCCATCTCTCCCTCTCTCGCGCTCTCTGTCTGTCCTCTCTTATCGCTCACTGTTTGTTACCCAGCAGGCTCACTGTCATTCACCCATAATTAATCGAAGCCAGGACAGCGGAACCCCATTTCCGGCTCTGCAGTAAATTCGAATCCCCTCCACCAATGGAGTGTGAACTTAAATCGTTCACAAAAGAAAATAGTGTACACGGACCGCGATGGCTACCATCACTTACATCCAGTTGGAGGCCTCAGCACATAATCAACAGCGGTTATGTTTGCATCTTTATATCTCGAAATGGCAATAAATTAACGGAGGGACCATTGACGGATAGACCTGTTGATTATGAGCTGACGTGATGGTAACTACCTACTCATCATTCACCAAGGGCTCTGGAGCCTCTACTACAGCCACATCCACAGCTCCAGCTGTGCTACGACCCCATCCAGCCACCAAGTCTGGGAGAAGGATGAGTCTGGGAGAAGGATGAGTCTGGGAGAAGGATGAGTCTGGGAGAAGGATGAGTCTGGGAGAAGGATGAGTCTGGGAGAAGGATGAGTCTGGGAGAAGGATGAGTCTGGGAGAAGGATGAGTCTGGGAGAAGGATGAGTCTGGGAGAAGGATGAGTCTGGGAGAAGGATGAGTCTGGGAGAAGGATGAGTCTGGGAGAAGGATGAGTCTGGGAGAAGGATGAGTCTGGGAGAAGGATGAGTCTGGGAGAAGGATGAGTCTGGGAGAAGGATGAGTCTGGGAGAAGGATGAGTCTGGGAGAAGGATGTGTCTGGGAGAAGGATGAGTCTGGGAGAAGGATGAGTCTGGGAGAAGGATGAGTCTGGGAGAAGGATGAGTCTGGGAGAAGGATGAGTCTGGGAGAAGGATGAGTCTGGGAGAAGGATGAGTCTGGGAGAAGGATGAGTCTGGGAGAAGGATGAGTCTGGGAGAAGGATGAGTCTGGGAGAAGGATGAGTCTGGGAGAAGGATGTGTCCGGGTGGAGCCCGTTGGAATGTTTCGTTCAGGATATTGGCGTCGAGTCACCAGAGTTATGGCACAGGCTGACAGCTTTTATAATGAGCGCATTAATATACCCCCAAGTCAAATTCCTGTTATGCCATATTCCCACAATGCTTACCCAAGGATTTCCAAATCATTACCCAGTTCAAACCTTTTTTGATTCTCAGCTTAAAACCATAAGATCTATTGGCAAAGACCGATGTACTGAAACAGTCCACTCTCATTACAGGAAACTTAAAAGGGGAAAAGATAAAACATGATGATGTATTCGGCAGCACAGACACACACGCACACACACACACACACACACACACACACACACACGCACGCTCGCACATGCACGCACCTACAAAGTTACTTACAAACACATCCTCTGACGCACCCCGCAACTTCACAGAAACAAACAAAGCCACCTAAACACACAAACACACCTACAAAACATCCATCTACACACACATAACCACGCCTACAAACAAAAACACTATCGTTCAAAAGTTAGGGGTCACTAGTAATGTCCTTGATTTCCCCCAAATAATACTGTAGGTTAATAGGAAATTAAGGTCAGAAAATATTAGTTTTAATTAAAATAATAATTGTGTCCTTCAAACTTTGCTTTCATCAAAGAATCCCCCATTTGCAGCAATTACAGGCCTGCAGACCCTTGGCGTTCTACTTGTCAATATGTTGTCACGCCTTGTTTCCCGACAACTTGGCTTGATGGGCACTTCTTACATAACATACGGTCAGACTGCTCAATAGGGTTGTGGTCCAGTGAGTGTGCTGGCCATTCCATAGCAGACCGAATATCAGTTGACTGCTTCTTCCCCAAATAGTTATTGTATAGTAAGGAGCTACGTTACGGGTCACTGTCTTGTTGTTGTAGGAGATTTGCTCCACTCAATTGCCTTCCGCAGGGTATGTCAGGGGAGCGTTGGCATTCGTTCTTCAATCTCTCTCTCACTCTGTACAAATCTCCCACATTAACACCACCAAAGTACCCCCAGACCCTCACATCCCCCACGCCTGGCGGTGTCAACTACTACTTCGGGATCTTTTTCATTCGGTCTGCATCTCACAAATGTTCTTCCTCATGATCCAAACACTCAAACGTAGATTTGAGTACCTAGTCAGAGACGAGGCTTTATCTTTGCAACTCTGACTAGAAGGCCAGCAACTCGGAGTTGCAACTTCACTGTTGTCAGTTAAACTGGTGTTTTGGTGGTATTTAATAAAGCTCTCTGTTGAGCCTTTGTGCAGTGTTTATTTAACATCACACTGATGTATTTGTCCCCTAGTTCAGTTGGGCACCGGGGCCTCCCACTCGATGTTCCTCTCATAGAACAGTTTGTGCCGTTCTGTGAATGGGAGTAGTTCACAGCCTTGTTTAAAATCTTCAGTATAACGGCAATCTCTTGCATGTTTCTTAAAACAAGAGACCGCTTTAGAAGAAAGCTCCTCGTTTCTGGATTTTGAGCCGGAAATAGCATCTACAGTTGCCGATGCTCCAGATACTCAACGAGTGCAAAGGCCCGTTCAATAGCATCATTAATCCGCACAACAGTTTTTCAGCTGTGCTAGCATAATGGCAAAACTGTTTTCTAATGATCAATTTGTCTTTTGAAATGATTAACTGGGATTAGCAAACACACCATGGACCACAAGACTGATGGTTGGCTATAAAGGGCCTCATATGTAGATCAGCAGTTTCCATCTGCACAGTCATTTACATTATCAATAACTACTCTTGTATTTTGGATCAATTTGATGTTATCTTAAGACCCATATGTTTGAATGATGCATACAAACACACAGACGACACACACACACACACACACACACACACACACACACACACAGACTATAAGAGTATGCAAAGACAAGAGATGTCAGTGCATCATCATGCACCCTGGTGTCTGAGTTTGTCTTCATCTATTGGTTCTTACTGACATTCACTCAATAGCCCCGCCCAGAACAGAGAGAAAAGCCTTCTGATTGGGCGAGGGTGTTGGAGTTTTTCAGTTTAGCCAGGATATGATGTGGTGTATTGATGAGCAATGACGATAGACGACCCTGGATTAACTGACATTCACAGATGATTTCTTGACCTCCGGTTTTTCTTCCACAATGAAGAACACACACACACACATTGTTTATATTAAGCACCAGAGCTTTTGGGATGCACACAACAGCAACAAACACACAAACAGAAACACACACACATCGCCACTAAGCTCAAATGGAAGACGGGAGTCAAGTTAAGTTGAGACAAGTGTAGGTGAGCAGACCGAGATGATGCAATGAAACAGCCCGGAATGCTGGGCAATTACTGCTGTTGCCGTGGCAACCGTGCCGCAGCTCACTCTACCCACACAATTTCTTATTGAGAGGCGTAGGCTCCGCCCCAGCCACGTTTTACCTTTAACACCCAACTACCCCCCCCGAACTCCCCACCTCCCACCACCACCCTCCCCGGGGGGAGCCCTTTTAAGCACCAGTCATCTCTGAAATGAAGGGGTCCATACGGGACTGCTTTATCCCTGGGCGGACTGGAGAAGGTGGGTGTACGTTCAGCAATAGCCACTATGGCCGAGTCCTGGGAGTGGGGCTTTAGATTCACGGTGCTCCAGCCACAGTGGCCTTGATAACCTGATAATAACACCTAATAGCACCTCTCCTCTGGAGGGTATTAGCCCGGCCTGGCCTCTCTGGCCCCAGCAAACACAGCTGAACCTCTTCTCATTCAGAGCACTCTCTACTACAGAGTACATGCTCAGACACCCACACGTTTACACAAGTGTTAAGAGGCACACACAAACGCGTACATAAGTGGTCACACACACACACACACACACACCATGTCACTCGGGGGCCCAGCTGTCACCGTTGCCATCACAGTTTCTGAATTCCATCTCTGATCTGGTGCACTAAAAATAAATACCT